GGACGTTCAGTGTAGTGGAAATGGTGTGCTAATGGAAGTTCAGCAGTGTCGGGTGCCAGGGCTGTGGCGTAGTACGTGAAGAAATATAATAATTGGTTCCCACACCCCTCATCTCAGTGATTGTGGACGGATAAACCGTCACTGGTATAGAAGGATGAAATTGGAAGGCGTGGCTTCAGTCAGGGGAGTTCCCTTTGGCAGCCAAGCTGACACCTGATTGGCTGTCTTTCTTATAATGAAGACCCCCGATAGAACGGATGAGAATACAAAGTATCCATAGACAATAATGATACAATGTAACAATGCTTTGTTGTTTCAGGCAGAAGAAAGGGGAGGAGCCTGAAGAGGAGGCGGCGGTGGAGAGGACGCTTCAAGACGAGATCCAGAAGCTGACGGTCATCAAGTCCTCCTCCAAGATCAAGTAACGAGACGATAACTTGCGTTTTTGCCTCCTTTTCGGCGTAACAATTGACGCCAGTGATTAATTCCGTGGCTTTGCGTCCTCTCAGGTCATGTGACCTGCTGGCGTCCGGCAGAGGGGAGCTGAAGGTGGTGGTGCTGCTGCAGAACAACAGCGTGGAGTGTTTCACGTTACCGGCGGACCCGTCCCAGCCCGGCCCCATCGAGTGCAACAAGAGCGCCCGGCTCACCCTGTGGGCCCACCGCAGCGACGTGCGCACGCTGGCGTTCAGCTCGGATAACATCGCCGTGCTGTCGGCGTCAGCGGAGTCCGTCAAGGTCTGGAACAGGTAAAGCCGACTTCCGGAGGGTTCCATTGTCTTTGTATGGGGGAGCGTTCACAGGGCCCATCATTCGGAGGGGGCGGTCCTTATAGGGGGCGGCCATAGTGATGGTCAGGTGACCGCGTCCTGCTGACCGTATGGTGTATTTGGGGAGCGTTAGGATTGCATTTGTGATGTCATAGCCCCGCCTTTCATCTGCACTGAATGAAAGAGTAAATACAATGTATCAGATATTGTTACATTGTATTTATCAGTGACAGCTACACTCTGAGGCCCCGCCTCTGATACCTGACAGCCAGTTCACCTACCCACATGTCCATGGAGTGTCCCAACACCGGGAGAACATACAAACTCCATGCAGACAGTGTCCTGGCCAGGATATGAACCGCGTACCCCAGTGCTGGTTACTGCGGTGCACTCTGTTACTTCTTCTGATGTCGCAGAGCGTGGCTGTGATGTCACTGCGTTCTCTCTTTTTGCAGGTCGACGCTGCAGTGCATCCGGACGATGACGTGCGAGTACGCCCTCTGCTCCCTCTTTGTCCCCGGAGACAGACACGTCATTGTGGGGACCAAGGTGAGTGCGCCATGTCACCGGGGGAAACCATCGAGCCCCAAGTTCCGGGTCTTTGTAGCGTTTTCTCTTGTGTGGCCGTCACAGACACGAGAAGTCGGCTGTAATCTGTGTTTCCAGGGGATTTGTGAGTGCAGGGAGCCGATATGGTGGAGGGCCCACAAGTGGGCGGGCCCATGACACCCTGTAGTCACAGTAATGTCCTGGGTCTTCCTGGTTGAGTGACTCTGGACAGTGTTCAACCCAGGAGACTGATGACATCTAGTGGCAGAATAGAGGTACTGCAGGCTACGGCACCATTACTCCACCCAGGAGACAGAGGACATCTAGTGGCAGAATAGAAGTACTGCAGGTTACATCACCATTATTCCACACTGAGGACTTCTAGTGGCAGAATAGAAGTACTGCAGGCTACGGCACCATTATTCCACCCAGGAGACTGAGGACATCTAGTGGCAGAATAGAAGTACTGCAGGCTACGGCACCATTACTCCACCCAGGAGTCTGAGGACATCTAGCGGCAGAATAGAAGTACTGCAGGCTACAGCACTGTTATTCCACCCAGAAGACTGACATCTAGTGGCAGAATAGAAGTACTGCAGGCTACAGCACCATTACTCCACCCAGGAGTCTGAGGACATCTAGCGGCAGAATAGAAGTACTGCAGGCTACGGCACCATTATTCCACCCAGGAGACTGACATCTAGTGGCAGAATAAAAGTACTGCAGGCTACGGCACCATTATTCCACCCAGGAGACTGAGGACATCTAGTGGCAGAATAGAAGCACTACATTGAACAGGGTCATTATTCCACCCAAAAGGACTGAGGACATCTAGTTGCAGAATAGAAGCACTGCAGGGAACATCACCATTATTCCACCCAGAAGACTGAGGACATCTAGTTGCAGAATTGATGTACTGCAGGATACTGCACCATTCTATTCAGGAGACTGAGGACATCTAGTGGCAGAAAAGAAGTACTGCAGGTTACAGCACCATTTTACTTAGTAGACTGAGGACATCTAGTGGCAGAAAAGAAGTACTGCAGGTTACAGCACCATTATTCTATCCAGGAGACTGAGGACATCTAGTTGCAGAATAGAAGCACTGCAGGGAACAGGGTCATTATTCCACCCAAAAGACTGAGGCCATCTAGCGGCAGAATAGAAGCACTGCAGGGAACATCACCATTATTCCACCCAGAAGACTGAGGACATCTAGTTGCAGAATTGATGTACTGCAGGATACTGCACCATTCTATCCAGGAGACGGAGGACATCTAGTGGCAGAAAAGAAGTACTGCCAGGGGGAGGGTTGGTGGGGGCAGAAACGATATTCAACCCAGAGAACTGAGGACATCTTAAGGCAGAATAGAAGCACATAAAAAAACCAGCAAAAATAATTAGGGCCGATAAAGGGTAATTAAAATGTAAATAGGAATACATTATTATTATTTTTAACTTGTAAGGTTTCTTTAAGTGATGTGTAATTCAGATCAGAGGTCACACATGTGAAATGAAATAGTAAATACAATACATCAAACCATTGTTACATTGTATTTACTCGATGACCCTGACAGACTATGTACAAGTGTCATTTCACACAGGTGATGCTGCATTTGGCAGCTGCTCCTCATGTGTCATGCAAAGCGATTTTGTCCTTTTGTCAGCCGGTATTTGCCAGTGATAGCAGCGTGGGGAGGGGGGATGGGGGGTTAGAGGAGCTTGGACGTAAGAGATGCATCCTGGAAAGTCTTTGTGATGTTTTTAGGACGTATCTCTTACGTTACACCTCAGGAGTGTGTTGTCAGTATATAAGGTCATGAAGTTTCCTTTATGGATCCGGAGACACGCCACAGGCAGCCAATGATTGCACGGAGATACTGCACTCGGTGTTGCTCTATTACATTATACGGCCCTGACGCTTTTTTTGCTGCATTTACATAGAGCCGCTCTCATCAGTTCTGCCTGCAAAGGTGCTTTACCCTCCAATGTCCTTTCTTACATCATAGACCCACTGGGGGCGGTTCAGCATTGAACCCTGATGGCTTTGATTATCATGCGTGTCCCCATGCGCGTCCCCGCCATGCGTCATTCTATAACCTGTGTGTCTTTCAGTCTGGCAAGCTGCAGCTGTTTGATTTGTCCACGGGGACTGAGCTGGACTCCATACCTGCCCATGATGGGGCATTGTGGTCCATCTCCCTGTCACCGGACCAGGTAAGGTTCTGGGGTATAGCAGGCAGGGAGCGGAGTGGCCCGCACGGCGCCGGTTCTATATTTGTGATGGTCTCTCCCGTCGTGTCTTTCAGAGAGGGTTCGTGACCGGAGGTGCCGATAAGGCCGTGAAGTTCTGGGAGTTTGAACTGGTCAGCGATGACTCTGAGGCTCAGAGCAGGTGAGGATCATGGCTGCGGGTCGTATGAAAGGTTCATAGAGTTCATATGTGAGCGGTTCAGGGGATTGAAGGCGTAATTCCTACATCTGCAACGGTGAACTATTAAAGGGGATTACCGGTTCACTGCAGTGCAGGTTAAGGGCGTGAAATATGTCAGAGGGAACCATGCTCACTGGCATAATTTTTTTACATACATGATCTTTAATTCACTTGCAAAGTACTTTTAACTTGACCAATCCAGGAAGAGTTGTTTCCCTATCCCCCCTCCCTTGTGTATTATAGTCCTCTCCTCTTCTGGGAGTGTCTAAGTACTGTCTGTGCTGGCCAAGCTCCTCCGTATCTGCCTACATAACTAGGGATGCACCGATATCGGTGCCGATACCAAGTATTTGGGTGAGTACTCGTACTCGCCCAAATGCTCCGATACCTAGCACGAGTACTTCCTGTATCAGGAAGCCGGGCAGCGCATCATTACACGCTGCCCGGTTTCCTGATTGGCCAGGAAACGGCTCCATGCTCTCTCGTCACTTGTGATGAGGGAGCATGGAGCCGACTTCCCGGGCCAATCAGGAAGCTGGGTAGCGTGCAATGACGCACTGCCCGGCTTCCCGATTGGTCAGGAAGCTAGCGAAGCCGGGCGCCGTGTAATGACGCAGCGCCCGGCATTCGGATCGGCCGGGAAGCCGGCGTCATGCTCCCTCGTCATCTCATGAATCATAATATTAAGAAAAAGCATTGGTTTGTATTGCTTTAGAAAAAATGTGACCTGTCCCTTTAAGAAAAAGTATCGGTAATTGGTATCGGCGAGTACATGATCAAAAGTATCGGTACTCGGTCTTAAAAAAGTGGTATCGGTGCATCCCTATACATAACCTTTAATGTAGCAGATGGGGGAGGAACAATGGGGAATACTATGGAGCAGGGGTGGGCAAACTCCGGGCCCTCCAGCTGTTGTGGAACTACAAATCCCATGGGGCATTGCAGGATTCTTTACAGCCACAGGCCTGACTTCCAGAGACAGCTACATGCATGTGTCTCATAGCGGGGGGGTGGGGG